TCGCCTCCCCATTGAAGTCAATGGCGTTTCGGGCGGTTCGCCGGTTCGCGAACATTTGCGGAAGTTCGCATTCGCCGTTCGCGAACCGAAAATTTCGGGTTCGCGACATCACTACTTGTAATCAAGTTGGCTCAGCAACACATATGTGGTGGTCATGTCCCTATATTCAATTGTATTGGAAGGAGGTCAAACTTGGGGTATCTCGAATTGTAGGCGAAAAGATCAAATTAACTCCAGAATTGGCTCTGTTTCACTTTGTACCTAGTCACCGCTCAAAAGAAGTAAAATCCTTCTTGTTTCATATTTTTTTTTTTTTTTGTAAATATATTTTTATTGGGTGTTTTAAATTTTTCAGTTTCGAACATGTCATGAGAAAGCTCCGGTATGGACACGCAGGTCACATTATGTTTGCAAGCGAGCTATTGCATTGGAACAAATGCTGCTCATGTATGTATACACTGGTGACACGCAGGTCACATTTAAACGTAAGAAGCATAAACTAGTTGGACTCGCAGGTCCTATGGCATATACTTGACATGTATCTCTAAGCTAGTTTCAGTTTGGATACTTAGGTCCCATCTGTATGAAGCGTTAACTGTAATTTTAGGAAGCGTCGTTCGGTCAGGTTTACGTTGAGTTTTGTGTGTTCAGTCAACTAATTGAGGCAACATGTGTCTTAACATGGTATATCTTAACCTGGTGCGGTGATATGTGGATCATTCATGAGAGGGTATGGTAGAGGTATAATGGACTCGTAGGTCCTGATCGGGGTCAATTTTTATTTTTTTATTTTTTTTTTTTATGTGGAGAATCTTTTGCATGTGTTGTGTCTATGTGGGTGTGTGTGTCAGTGGCTTCCAGGAGTTACAAGGCATTGGGTTTGAAATTTGTATTCTATCATATACTTTTATCTGTGTAAAGTATTTGTGGGTAAGTAAGATGTAGGGGTAGCTCTAGCGGCACGGGCGTTTTGTGGACTTTTTTTTTTGGCTGGTATGAGTGGCATCTATGTTCGTTGTGTGGTTTATTCCTAAGTCTGTTCCATTCATGTTGTTGTCCCTCCCGCCTTCCCCGCGTGTCGTGTCCTAGTCATGTGCTGGGTAGTCCGTTGGTTTGTGTGTGTGCGTGATGTGGATCCCACGGGAGGGTGAGCTATCCTTGTTCCTTGTGTTATCGTGATTCTGGGATCAGGATTTTCGGTTTCTGGAGTGTTAGTGTGTGAGGTTCGCTCGGGGGTCTCCTGTTGTTCAGCTCTATATCTTGGGTATTGGTGCGTGAGTCGGGGGTGTCGGCTTGGGTTCAATGAGAGGTCTGTATGATGTTGTTTTTTGGGGTTGGCAGGTTGTTGCCAGTATCGTATGCTGCTACGTCCTGTGCCCTCATTGGTTGCGTTCATGGGGTGGTTGTGTGTTGGCGGTGTGTTGATCCTGTGAGCGTTGTAGTTGTATTGCGTGTAGTGTGTGTGGCTTGTTAGGGGGAGGGATGGGTGGAGGCCCCCTTAACTCCCTTCCCCAGCCGCCGCGTCCCCCCCATCTCGTCTTGCCACGTATATTATCCAAGGTTGCCACTTGTCAACGTGTTTCGTGAGGGTGTCTCGTAAGGTCGCATGCATTTCTTCTGCGAATCTGATCTCTTCTACCCTGTTTAGCCATTGTTCCATTGTGGGGGCGTTTGTCGTTTTCCATAGGGCAGGGATTAGAGCCTTGGCTGCGTCGAGAAGGTGTCGTAGGATGGATCGTTTGTATTTTGAAATCGGGTCTTTAGTGTGATGTAGGAGAGTGTTGTCTATTGACAATTGCGTCGTGTGCCCTAGTACCTCTTTGATGCGGGACGTAATCTGGTTCCAAAATGGTTTAATGTTGGGGCAGTCCCACCAGATATGTTTTAGTGTTCCAATATCTGCTTCACATCTCCAACAGGTCGCCGAAGTGTTGGGGAATATTCTGTGGAGCAGGTCTGGGGTTCTGTACCAGAATGTCAAAAGCTTATAGTTCATTTCTTGGTATTTTGAGCTATTCGTGGATTTGTGATGGAGGATAAGAATTTTGTCCCATTGTGCGTCGGTGAAAACTTTGTCGGTGATGTTTTCCCATTTTTCCTTATATCGTCGAGTTGCTTGTTGCTCACCTGTGATTAGGTATTGGTAGAGCGTCGACGTTGGTTTCTGAGTCGGTGTTTGTTTGTCGCAGATGTCCCCAAACCACGTGAGGGTTCTGTGTACCTCTTGTTTGTTCGGTAGGGTGTGATAGAAATGCGTCAGCTGGGAGTATCTGAATTTGTGCATGGGAGCTGGCGGGCCTTCCATTAGGCGTTCCTGGGGGGTCAGTCCAGTGGCGGTTAGTGTTTTGTGGAGTGGTATGAAGTCTCTTCCCTCCAGAAAGTCCCAGGCCTTGATCGGTAGTCCTCCCCCCACTGCTTGGTTATGTGTTAGCATGGTCATCGGGCTGGGTGTTGGGGAGATGATCGTTGCGTTCCTCATTGTTGACCATATGTGTAGGGTGTGACTCGCCGGCGAAGTTGTGCCGGGGTCGTGACGCCGTGGCGTTTTCTGATTCCATAGGGATGCATAAATGGATGGGCTGCATGATTCTTTGTCTAAGGCCACCCATTGTTTGCTTCTCGGATTAGTGTGCCATTCCAGTATCCGCTGTAGGGCTGTCGCTTGGTGGTATTTGCGTAGGTCTGGGAGTGCCAATCCGCCCTGACTCCTGGTCTTGCATAATAGTTCATATCTTAGTCTAGGTCTGCATCCTCTCCAGACATAGGTCAGGAATGCGGTTTTTATTGTCACGAAAAAGGTAGTCGGTAGTGCCACTGGGATTGTATGGAATAAATATAGTAGTCTGGGTAGTATATTCATTTTGATGACCGCTATGCGGCCGAACCATGAGATGTGTGGGTAATTCCAGGTTCGGAGGTCTTGTTGAATGCGTGTGAGGAGTGGGAGGAAGTTTTTCTGGTAGATGGCGTTGGGGTCAGCCATCACCCATATCCCCAGGTATTTCATTTGGGTATGGCACCATCGGAACGGGAAGGTCGAGGCTATATCCCTGTGTTCCCCCAGTGGGTCCGTGATGTTGAGCAGTTCGCATTTGCTTAAGTTAAGTTTGAGGCCCGAGAGGTGTCCATATTTTTCGAATTCTTCCATTAGGCATGGTAGGGTGAGTCTTGGACGTGTAATGAAGAACAACATGTCATCCGCGTATGCGGCTACTTTGTGTGTGGCGGTTGTACAGGTGTAGCCCGTGATGTTAATATTTCGTCGGATTGCCTCCAGTAGGGGTTCCAATGTTAATGCGAACAATAACGGGGACAGGGGGCACCCCTGCCTCGTACCATTGCGAATCAGGAAGGACTCCGTCAGGGCTCCGTTAACACGCACCGCTGCCGTCGGGGTGCTGTATATCGCTCCGATCCATTTCTGTATGTTGTCGTTAAACCCCAGTAGACGTATCGTCGTTTTCAAGAATGCCCAGTCAACTCGGTCGAACGCCTTTTCGGCGTCTGTGGAGAGTAGCAGGAGTGGTGTTCCATGTTGTCTTGCTAAATGTTGTACAGCGAGAACTCTCAGAGTGCTATCTCGAGCCTCCCGTTCCGGTATGAATCCCGTTTGATCAGGGTGCACGAGTGTTGGCATTAGGTTGCTAAGTCGGGTGGCTTATATTTTGGTGAAGAGTTTTGTGTCCACGTTTAAGAGGGAGATGGGTCTGTAGCTGCTGCAGGTTTCCGGGTCCTTGCCTGGTTTTGGGATTACTGTAATTGTAGCCGATAGTGATTCAGCGTGGAATGTATGTCCCTCAGTGATGGCATTGAGCGCCTTTGTAAGTTTGGGGGCTAGTATATCTTGGAAGCGTTTGTAGTAGTCCAGCGTAAGTCCGTCGGGTCCGGGTGCGCGTCCTGTCTTCGTCGTTTTGATAGCTGTCTTAACGTCGTCTTCGGTGATCGGGCGGTCGATGGTTTCTGCATCTTCGGCTGTCACCGTCGTGTGTAGATGTTCTCTCAGGAAAGATTCCATGCGGCCTTGTTTGATTCGCCTGCCTTCTTCGTCGCTTTGTGAGTGTGTATTGTAGAGTGAGGAGTAGTAGGTGAGAAATTCCTTGGCGATTTTCTCCGGGTGTTGGGTAGTAGTGCCGTCACGTGTTTTTAATTTGTGGACTTGTGAGGGGTGTTGTTGTCCCCTGAGCATTTGTGCGAGGAGTTTGCCTCCTTTGTTTGCGTGGAGGTAGAAGAAACCTTTAGATCTTCGGAGTTGTCTCAGGTGTCTCTTGAGTAGCAGTGCGTGTAGTCTCCTTCTTTCCTCTAATAGTTCTTTGTAGGTACCTTCCACCTGTTGGCGTTTGTGTTGTGTTTCCAGGGAGCGGATCCGGTCAAGGATGGTTGACATAAGTGCGCCCGCCTCTTTTTTCCGTTGTGACGCGATTTGGATGAGCTTGCCCCGGAGTACACTTTTGTGTGCCTCCCATATTGTCATATCTGATACGTCTCCCATCTCATTCTCGGTAAAATATGTCTGTAGAGTGTCGGTGACTTAGGCCCTCAGTGGGAGGTCGGTTAAGAGGGAGTCGTTGAGTCTCCACGTCGTTTTCGTCGGTCTTATGAGTGGAGATTCGAGGTCTATCGACACTTGTCCGTGGTCCGACCACGTTGCAGCGTGTATGGATGCTCTCCTAAGTCTTATTAGAGCTTCTTGTTGCAATAGTATGAAGTCTATCCTGGAGTATCTTTTGTGTATTATGGAATAGTGAGTGTATTCTCTGTCTAGTGGGTTTAGTGTTCGCCAGCAGTCTACCAGGCGTAGCGTTTTCAGAGTATGGTGTATGGTTCTTATTTCTCTCTGTGGGATGCTGCTGTGTCCCGTTGAGGAGTCTACTTTAGGATCTAGTGTGACATTGAAGTCTCCTCCCGCGATCAAGGTTCCTTCCGTGAAGTCTGTTAGTGCCTTCAGTGTGTTCTTAAGGAATCTAGATTGATTGTTGTTGGGGACGTAAATTGTCGCGAACGTGTAACATCGCCCTGCGATATTCCCCTTTACGAAGGCGTATCTGCCGTTGTGGTCTATAAGGCAATCCTGTTCCTGGAATTGTAGACGAGCTGCTATAAGGATCGCGACCCCTGCCTTTTTCGCTGTAGGGTGGTTGCTGTAGTAGTTAGTGGGGTAGTGTTTGTTCTTGAGTGTCGGGGCCGCTCCTTCTCGAAAGTGAGTTTCTTGGAGAAGAGCGACTGCAACCCACTCTCTCTGAAGTTCCCTCAAGAGATTAGTTCTGCGTTCTGGGAGATTCAATCCCCTGCAGTTTTGCGTGATGATTTTCATCGGGTCTGGTCTGTATGCCATCTTGTCCGTATCTCTGCGCAATGGTGGTGTCTTGTCGGGTGCCGGGGTCCCTCGTCTGAGTCCCGCCCTCTTATGTACGCGGGAGTCGACCGAGGAAGCCCGAACCCGTGGCTTGATTCCTGGGTTTTGGTGTGGTTCGGCGCCCTTGCGCCGTCCGGTGGTTAGCTCGAGGCGGACGCGACGGCCGGGTCAGGAGCGCAGGGGGGGGGTGTGACGTTCGGGTGGGTTGCTGGACTGCGGTCACGTGTGAGGTGGTTGGTGTTCGTGGGGTGTTGGTATTTGCTCCTGTGTGGTCTAGGGGAGTTGTCTGCTCAGGCTCAGTGCCTTTCGGTTATGTTAGGCTCCGCGTCTGGTTCGTGTGATGGGGCTGTGTGTTTCTTATTTGGATGTTGGAGAGTAGGATAGGTGTGGTGTGCGTGTCGTGGTAATGTGAGGAGGTGAACCTCTCCGTGGAGAGGGAGTTCGTGTGCCTACGGTGTCGGTCGGAGGGCACCCCAAGATCTATCCCGGTGGTGTACCAGTCTGCCTCCGTAGTATCAAGCGTGCGCACCGAAAGGGGTGGGTAGCGTGTCTGGGCCCTTATCCGTTTAGGCTATGGTGCCTGTGTGGTATATGCGGTGTTAGTTGTAGAGTTGATACTTGAGAAGGGTTGTGTATCGTCGGTAAAATCTGTTAGTTGTGTAGAAGTGTATTTCCGTTTGGGGTTGTAGCGTCCGTCCACTGTAGTAGAGGTGTTATATAGTCATCACTAATGCCATTGGTGTGTGCCTGTAGTGTTATCAGCACTATGCCTGTTTGTTGCGTCTTTTCGGTGTCGCTGGTATCGGGTGGGGGGATGTACCGTAAGGGTAATTTGCGTGTAGTCAAATTAGGGGCTTGAGGATATCTCTTCGGGGTGTGTGCATTGTGGGTCCTCTTCTCATTGTGTCTGGGTCGTTGCATCTGGATCATGTTGATGTATTATTTTTTATTTTTTTTTCCCCTCTTTCCCCCCTCCCCCCTCTATGTCCCCTCGCCCCGTCTCCCGCCCCTTTTGTTCATATTTCACAGCTTCCAGGGGGTGGTGGGATGGTCGTCTGCTCAGTGTCTTCCCGTCATCAGTGTGTCGTCTGAGTGAGGCAATTGTGATTGTATGTAGTGTATGGACCTCTTTGGGAGCATGTTGTCTATACATGTCGGTCCTTTTGACGTGGGGGGAGGGCCCGGTAAGTAACACAAAGTGAGATTGCATAGTCTAGCCATTCAAAATAGGTTACTCAAAATAGTCATACAATAAGGAGCAGTCTCGGGCCTCACAATCAGCTATACATTTAGTATGGAATCAGTTCTTTGTCTTCACGAAAGTCAATGCTGCAGGAGGTCTCTAGGACCCGATCTCTATGTCCCCAACCCTCCCCCCTGTGCTCCCCCTCCCCAATAGGACTTACTCCCCTGCTGTATTTTTCTTCCCGCCCCTCCCTTTTCATCCCCTTGTTTTTTTTTTTGTTTTTTTTTGTTGTTGTTTAGAACCCTTTCGTGTTGTGGAGGACCCATTTGCAAGTGAGATATCCCTTAGTTCGGTCAGTATCAAGGTGAAGAGTGGTACCCTCCCACACCAGGGGGGTGGGGGAGGGGTGTCCCCTCTGTTAGTCTCGTGCCAATGTGTTAGCTACCCAATGTCAGAGTACCTGATTCTTGGGGTGCGGGTTTGCCTCCAGGTGCTTCTCCAACGTGGGTTCCAGCTGTCTGTGTTGTCTCGGAATTGTGGGGTCTACGGGAGCGGTGCCGGTTGGTCCGGTAGTGGGTTATTCCTCTGGGTTGTTTAGATCTGGTCGGTGTCGCGGAGCTTCACCCTGAGAGTTCCATCTTCTTCGCCTTGCTTGTCGCTGCGGTTGTGGTCTTGGATCCAGCGGCATGAATACCCAGTTCGGGACTGGGGTTGGCGGCAGGTTCAGGCGTTGTAGGAATTGAGGAATGTCTTCTGGCCATCGTGCGGAGACCCATTCGTTATTATAGCGAACTGTGATGCTAAATGGGTAACCCCATCTATATTGCATATTCCTCTCCCTCAGGATGGTGGTAACCGGTCTCAGGGCTCTTCTAGCCTCCAGGGTCATAGGTGATAGGTCATTGTAGAGGGATATTTCTGCGCCCCTGTAGTTCCAGTGGGCCCTGGATCTAGCTTTCCTCATGATCAGATCTTTGATGGCGAAGGAGTGCAGGCAGCATATTATATCCCTGGGGGTTCCTTCCGTGGGCCTGGGACGGAGTGCTCTATGTGCCCTGTCATATTTAATAAGCGCTGGTGTGTCCTCCCTTAGGATGATGCGGAATAGGGAGGTGAGCATCTCCTCTATGTTTTCCCCCTCTGGAGATTCAGGTATCCCCCTTACCCTGATATTGTTGCGACGACTGCGGTTGTCCTGGTCCTCTAGCTGTCGCCTCATGGCCAGTATGAGGGTGCCCTGGCGTTTGAGGGCCGTGTCTGTGGCTGCAGAGTGGTCTTCAGTGGTCTGTGCCCTTTTTTCCACCTGCTGTATGCGGTGTTCCTGTGCTTTGATTTCAGCCTTCAGGCCGGTCACTTCAGATTTAATTACTTCATGTAGATTGTTAGTCAGGTGGGTGAGGTCATCTTTTGTGACCATCCTCATTGCCATGCGCTTTAATTCTGCTCCGATGTCTGCCAGTGTAGTGGTGTCGGCAGTGGAGCATGTGGATGCTGGCGAGGTCGGCGCCATTTTGGATGTCGGGGAGCTGGGGTCCGGGCCGCATGGCGCGTGGAGGAATTCATCCATCGGCCCCGTTTGCGACCCTGAGACGGAAGGTTTGGGGGTCTAGGGTAGGTCCCCTCTCTTTGTGCGACCCATTGGTGGCAGTGCGCGCTGGTGGGTAGTGGGATGCTCCGTTCTATGTGCTTTCGTGGAGCGGAGCACAGCGCTTAGGTGGCCATGTTCGTCGGAGCCCAGGCCACGCCCTTCTTGTTTCATATTTTATCGATAGCGAAATGGTTGATTGCTGTAAATTGGAAAGGAGGAAGGTTGCCAAAGTAGTCAGAGGTGGAAAGGGTAATGCAAAGAAATAGGACACTAGAAAGAGAGGATGATCATTTAGGCTCTATAGTTCCAAAGTATAGATGGGCTCTCTGGGATGATTATTGTTTGACCCTTGGACATAATCCTTCATAGCTATTTCCCCTTGTCGGCTTACCTCCCCATGGAATCCCAGAACAATATATGTGGTGTGTGTGTGGATGTTGTGGTATGGGTATTCTTGGGATCTAAGGGGGTTGCCCTCTTTTTGTTATAGTTCTTCCTCACATGGTTCTTTTTATACCTCCTCTCTCTCTTTTATATGGAGTGTTCCCATCTTTAGTACAGAAGATGGGCATATTTCATATGGTCTCCCCCCCACAACTTGGGACCAAATGGCGACTAAGGTGAGGGGTTGGTGACTGCGATTAGTATAGGACAAAAGGGAAAATCGGGGTAAGAATTTGGAAGAGGTCAACTTGTGGAGACTGATAAAGGGTATTGGTTATAACCCATACTCGGTTATTATAGATTACTCATACACTGTGAATTGATAGGCTGTTTGTGGTGTTTGTTGTCTTTGTGTTTTTGTAATATGTGTCAAAGTAATATTATTGTAAAGAATGTAAATTGAGTTTTATATACTTTGTGATAAAATTAATAAAAATAATACTAAAAAAAAATAAAAATAAATTGTGCAGTTTGTACTATAAAATGACATCAGTTTGGGAGAGCATCTCACTTACCTCCTACATGAGTCACTTTACAGTAGAGAAGATTTGTATTGCCTATATAAACTGATTTGCCATTACTTGTATTCTAATTCCTTAAAAAGCTCAGACGTATTTAATCATCTGGTTGACATTTTAACTATCCATTTGTAGTAGAAATTCCTTTTCATAAAGCAACCTTAGTTGATTCTATGGGCCCTTTATAACATCCCTTCCCTGTTTTTTTTATAACTGAATTGATTCCAGGTTTTAGAATTTGAGACCATCAGTTCTTTATGTAGATCTCTGCCCATTCGTTCTACTTCTGGACAAATGTGGCGCGTTAGTGTTTAAATGTTTTCCATCAGAATATTCCTCTTTAGCTCAGTGTGCAAGAACCTCTGATATATCTCCCATTTAAATAGGAAAAACTAGTTCTTTCCAAGCTAGACTCTCAAACGATTCTACATTAACAGTGAAAAAATACTTTCCATACCAAAATCTAGTATAAATGTTTTTATTTTTATGTAATTTGGAGAATTAAATATATTCAGTAAAACCTCACGCACCATCATTTATACTCTAGTTATGAGTAGTAGCCTGTAGAGAAGTTATTTTATCTGCCAGAAGCCAAATATAATGCCTGTAAATTAACTCAGAATGTAAGTTGACTTCTACAGGAAGATTCAATGGGTCATATAATTTCTACAGTCAGGGAGGGTGAGTGAATGGACTCTACCATTTTAATGTCAACATTACATTAAAAAGATAAAGATTGCTATAAACGTTTCAAATATCTTTTATTTTAGAAATATTATTTAACTGTATTTACAGTATGCTGGCATGCTCAAATGTAGACATTCTTTTTAGATTCTGTTGTTATTTTTAGTCATCTGCATGGATAGGAATGCCTTCAGGGTCTTTTCAAATACCTACATGTATGTGTATGACCATATATTCTATATATTTTTGTCACATCTACTGTATGACAGTATAATTGCATTTTGCTTTTATACGAACATTCCAGACATTGCAAGATAAAGGTCACTGTATACCGACTGAAGTATTTCACTAACCAAATAATTTTATAAAGATTAAACTAGTTAAAAATAAAAATTGTGTAAATTTACATCATTCATTTTTTTAATATTTGTCTACAAAGCAATATCTACACAAAGTAGCTGTCCTATGGTATGTTTATATGTTAACTCTACATCCCTTGCCTTAAATGAATCCTGGAGTGCCCCCCTTCCTCCCGCCCCCCATCCCACTTTGCTGAAGG